CTTTTCTTTTTGCGTGCCCTTCTGCGTTACATGTATCAGCATCTCAGCACTTAAAAATGGTGGTGGGGGTGCTTGAACTAAAGCTCATCGAATGATTTTTAGTTCAGCTGCTACTGCCACTATTTTTAAGCTCAGGGATGGTTTTAAGCAGGGCAGAGCTGAGTGGGGCAAGGGCAGGTGCAGGCTGCCGGCTGTGGGTTCGGGGCTTTCTGCTCTGCTGCCTTTTGCCTTGGGATCCCTGTGCCGGTCACACTTCTGCCTGCCAGCAGTGGGAGGCTCAACTTGCTGTCCCCACTGCTGCTGAGTGGATGGGGGGGTGCGTGGCCTGCATGTGGCTCCCAAGGGAAAGGCAGCAGAGTGGAAAGCCCTGAGCCCACAGTGAGCAGCCTGCATCCACCTTGTGCACAGATCGGGGTGGGGGGAGCACATGCTGCCCCCATGCCTCCCCTAGGTGGTTTGTGCAGTGGTGGGGAGCCACCTCCCCCACGCCCTCTGGACGAGCCTCCCACGGCTGTTCCGCTCCCAGCCCTGGGTCCCATGCACTGCTAGTTGGGCAGCACCCCCTAGCTCCTGCCCCACTCCCTCCCTCAACATGGGGTGCCTCCATCGATTTACCTGCACCCCATCGATTTACCTGCAGGGAGCTGCTGTCCACGCTGCCTGGCTTTATTCGTGGCCAAAAGCATGCATGTAGCCATGCACATGGTGCCCCCTGCGTCTCGCTCCCCAAGCAGAACCCCTTCCAGGCCAGAATGCTGCCTGCCTATAAGGGGAAACCTGCTGTTTCCTGAGGGAACCCAGGCATCTGGGACCCCCCAGTCCCTCGGTGGAGAGGGAAGCCAGGTGTCCAGGGCCTTGGCCGGAAGGCATAACTATTGCTAAACATTACTGGCTACAACAGCCAAAAAAAAGCCGTTAATGTCATTTTCTGCCTTGTCGGTACCAATCCAATAGGCAACAGATATATCGGTGCACCTCTAATATAAACTGATTTTTTTTTTTTTTTTTTTAAAGTCTGTTTTGCGTTAAAGATACTGTGATTCGATAACATAATTTTAAGGTTTGAATAAAGGGAACAGCCTGGCATGCTACACTGAGATGTTTTAGCTGGCCTAACTTGTTTCTTCAAAGTTCTGTGCCAGTTAAGAAACAATGGACAAATCCTGTTTTTCACCTTTGCACAGAGTAAACCAAAAGTGAGAGTAACTTATTTGTTCCTATTCTCATCTCAGGATTTTTTTCTGCTTTTATTAGAACTGTTTAGCAGAAGCAACATGTGTCTTTAACTTTTTAGTATGGCACTTTTCATCTGTTTTGATATTTGTAGAACTGACTGGTGGTGGTTAGTAGGAGCATCTCGCTAAAAAGGCTGCAGATGCACACTTCACAGTAGTTTATAAGAGCCTTTGTTGCACTTTCTTGTAATCTTGTAGGGATTTTTTCCCCCCTGCCTTGGCTCAGGTGACATGATATTCTGATATATCTGGCAGAACATTTTTCAAAGTAGCTGAGCATGCCTATAGACTATGATGGAGCTTCCACTGAAGGACAGCCTTTTAAGTAAGATGCAGGGTTCTCAGCTGCACATCAATATTTAAATATGGCAGAAGGTCATTTCCAGACATTTTCCTTTCTATATCTGTCAATTCCCTCCCTCTTCTGCCCCCCCCATCCCCCTCTTCCTGTACCCTACTCCTCCCCCACTACTCCTTTTGTGGCCAGGAGCAAAAAAAAGTGTGTTTTTATGCTTGGTAGCTGTGTTGGTCTGAGACAAAGACATACAAAAAACTAGAACTCTTGGTTCCAAAATGATACCTTTTTATTAGACCAACTGGAAAATGGCAAGAAAATAGTCCTTTTCTGCAAGCTTTTGGGATCAAAGTCCCTTCCTCAGGCTCTGGGAGAAGTGTAGATGTTCCTGAAACATGGAAGATGCTGTATTTTAGCCAATTTTTGAATTTTAAATTTAATTGCAGAACAATAAGGAAGGTTTGTTTGTGTTTTTTTTACCTCCCTGCCTGCCATCAGACACCTCCAGGGAAGGAATTCTACCTGATCAACACATCAAAGAGCTACTCAACATAGCTCACAAAGACACGCTCATAGACCCAGAGGGACAACCTTCCATCTTCAGCTCCCTCTGTGCAAAAATGAAGTTTATTTTCTACCAATAGGTACTTTTTACCATCTTGTACCATCTACACTTTTTCCAGAGCCTGACGAAGATAATTTGATCCCGAAATCTTGCAGAAAAGGACAGTTTTCTTGCCATTTTCCAGTTGGTCTAATAAAAGGTATCATTATGGAACCAAGAGTTCTAGTTTTTTGTGTGTCTCTTTATGCTTGGGTATAAGAAGTAACGTCATAGCTCAAATGATACCTTTTAAGGTTCATTTACCTTTTAAGTAATTGTCATACCCCAGGCCCTTTATTTCCACTCCCCAGAAAGTTAACACTATCTCTTTGTCCAGTCGTAAATTGCTCAGCTGGAGGTAGTTCCATTTTTCTTGAGTTAAAAGTTTATCTGAAATTTTATTCCATCCCCTCTAACTGAACTGCATTAGAAGGAATGGGGCTTAAATAACTGAATGGTACTCTTAGGTATAACCGAATTAGATGATAAAATCCCTGCTGACTGCAGAGTCACTCAGGTTGCTTAACAGTAACTTCTGGCAGCTGTGGCCATAGGATGCTTGGTTTTTTAGCTCCTCAAATATTTTTATTTTAATTTAATGAAATGGTTGTATTCTCCAGGAGGTCAACTTTATCTGCAAGTTTGTAGATCCTTTAATTCATATCTCCAAGACAGAAGCAATTGATGGTCCTTTCACTTGCATCTGCTTCATATCAATTGCAACCAGCTCTTTGGGTTGGGTGTTTTGTGATGCCCCCCCCCCAGTAATGAAAGCACATTTTCCCACTCTGCTATCCAGAACAAAGTTCTACTATACAAGGGCATGCCGCTCTGGGACTGGCTACTGCTCTCCTCCTCCCCCCCGCCCTCCCAGATGCAGAGGGGGAAGCTGTCATGCAGCGGTTGCCACCGCCATTCACCACCCCATGTTGCTGCTTCATGTGAGGCTGCTGCTCTGGGACGAGCCACCACTACTGCCCCCCACCCCTCTGTTCCATGACTGGCCACTGCTGGTTTAAAAAATGCAACATCTTTAAAGTTGCAGCAAGTGCTCAGTCCTGAGCACACAAGATTTATGAGGTTATATACTGTACTTTGAAAACTCACGACAGCAACAGAAGATAGAAAAGTGGGAGTGGCAGAAACAGCATGCAGCGGACCAAGTCAAGAATCCAATGCCACTTGCCCTATATAGAAATGTGTCTGAGCTGCGGTAGAATCTGTCTATCCTGGATAGGCCTTATCAGCCATCTTTGGACACACGGATAAGACAGTCCTAGAAGACAGTCATCCTCAACTGTGAGGGACAGCCGAAGACCAATTTGTGGTTGGTATTATTAAAATAAAGTAAGTTGTCAGTATGACAGAAAGGACTACTTAAATTATAATTAAGTGAAAGCCTATTGTAAATATGGGATATGCAACATTCTTCTTACCCCTTTCAAAATAACAAATGCTTTATAACAGGGAAGGCAACCAGTGGCACACTTGCTGGACCAGGGCACTTAGAGGCATTTTGCTTGGTACGCATGCCTTGGGGTGGATCGTGGGGGAGCTGCAAGGGGCCCAATCTTTGTTGTGGCAGCCCCTGCCCCTTCCCCACCATCTGCCTTGAGGCGTACATGCACCCACTGCCAGCAGTGAGCCAAGGTGGGCTCTGCAGACCCTGGTGCAGCTGTTTGCAGCCTGCCTGCTGTAAGCAGCCTGGGTTCTGGGATGGGTAGCAAGGGCCATGCCTAGAGCCCAGGCTGGCTTTGGCAGGAAGCTGCGAGGCTGTAAGTGACTACATTTGTGTCTGCGGAGCCCCAGCCTGGCTTGTTGCTGGTGGTGGGTACATGCGCACTTCTGGGTGGCTGGCTGAAAAAGGGCCAGGGATGTGCTGCCACAACAAGGATTAGGCCCCTTGTGGCTTCCCCACCATCCACCCCAAGCACGCCAACATTTTACAAGTTGAGGTTATGGGTGTTTTTTTGTATTGTGCCCCAAAACACTGCCGACCCTTGCTTAATAGTCTGTCTGTCTGTCTGTCTCAAAGATATAGGTTTTTCAGTTGCTAGTTATCTTACTTGTTCTGATTTTTCATGTTGTGCATTTCCCTTCTGTCCCCATCCTGCCCCTCTTTCCCCCCCCACCCCGGTCTGTATCACCTCTATGAATATTCCATATATCTAAGCTGGAAGTTTTAATAGTACATAGGAAAGTAGTTTTTTAAAGTCAGTTTGTGTTTAGCAATCAGTTTAACATCTTTGTCCCTGCATAGTGCTCATTCTAAATTTAGGATAATCATGAAGTAAAACTTCATGCTGTTGAAACCTGTGTAAAAAAAAAACAAACAAAAAACCAAAAAACAAAAACAAAACAACAACAAAAAAAAACCCAACAAAACAAAACAAAAAACCGCAAAGCATGTTACATTTTATATTTAAAATGTAATGACTAGTTCTTAGGTTTAAAGTCTTTTAGAGTACTTCCCTTGTGTTTATTCTTGAAATAATGTCTATAAGGATCTCTTCTACTAAGAGATCCGCACTATATTTTAGTGATGGTGGTGTTCTTCCCCCCATTTGTTTGAGTAGATCAGCCTTGCATGCAACTAGGAAGAGTGCTTTGTCTTTACAGCATTTAGCTCTTGTCCTTTTATCCTTTGCAGAGTAATACTTTTTTACTGTTATTACTAAAATGGAAAAACAAATTCAGTTCCAACGTAATGTATATTTCCACTTAAACTTGCTAGACAATATTTTCAGCTAGAATACCTATTAATCCTAAAATTTAAAATTAATAAATGGTACGTTACTTCGCTTTTGTGAGGTGCAGTGTTCAACATTAGAGGTTCATGATTATTTTTTGTGTCTTTTGTTTGCAGGTCTTTTATGCTCACTTCAAACAGCCATGTCACTTTGTTGCCAAAACCATATGAAGCAAATGTGCACCTTCATCCTGCTGTACTTAAAGAAGGTGGTAGCTCCATATAGTGCCTGAAGGTAATTTCTCCATTTTAATTTAGCAGCTTTTTCTAAGTTATCTATATTTCAGTGTATTTTTGAGTTTGATCTTGGGGTGGGGGAAAAAGTCTTTCCTCATTTGGGGAAATTAAAGAATGCTGGCTGAAGGTCAAAATTAACTTCCTATAGAGGGGGAGCATAAAGTCTTTAGCCTACTTACCCAGTAAGTACTACTTAAATCTACAAAATGGAGCTTATGGCAGGGGTTGGCAACCCCCAGCACACGGGCTGAGTATGGCATGTGAGGCTGTTTTCCTCGGTAGGTGTTGGGGCCGGGACCAGGGAGGCGACAGCTGTTTGCAGCCTCCCGGCTGCAGCTGGCCCAGGTTCTGGGTAGCTGCTGATAGCCACGGAGCCCGGGCTGCTCCCAGCGGCCAGCTGGGAGGATAGAAGCCCTGCTGCAAGCAGCCTGGGCTCTATGGCTATCAGTAGCTACTCAGAACCTGGGGCGGCTGCATCTGGGAGGCTGCAAACAGCTGCTGCCTCACAGACCCAGCCCTGGGCTCCCGGGAGTCAGCAGATACCGGCGATGCTCCTTACTGTGTTGCCCTTGCTGCTACATCTGCAGAGCAGCATGTGGAACCCAGCGCGGCAGGGGACAGCGGGGGGCGCAGAAAATGCCGCTCCGAGCTCCCCACTGCCCTGGCCACACTTCCCCTGCAGGTGGGGGCAGCAGCGAGGGGCAAAACCCCACGTGCTGCCCACACTGCTCCTGTGCACATAGGGGAAGTGTGACCTGGGCAGTGTGGAGCTTGCAGCAGCAGGCAGCTTCCCTGTGTGGCCCCTCTGTGCGCTGCTGCTCTGTGTCGCACACGCTGCGCTCCGGAGGGCAACAGGGCCGGGAGTGTTTAAATCTGTATTTTGTTAAATAATGATTGTCCTTATTAAAACAACTTATGGTAATAATTTGTTATAAACACTGGTTTACAATTATCTTCTTTCTGAAGAATAGAAATTATAAGAGTTCTTGCCAGTTCAGTATTCTGTCATTTTTCTCTTTGCAGCACTTTTTTATTGCGAGCTGTAGTTCTTCTACATGTGCAAGTCACTGATAGTCAATGTACCTACTATTGGAAAAGATTTGGTGAAATTGAGAACAGATTTTTGGCTCATTGTATATAAAATTGCTCTCAGTTTAAAAGCAATGTCTGAAGTTCTGAAACCTCTAGGTAGAAAATAGAGATCCGGAGAAGCTTAGAATTCCTTCTGATTAGGGGTGCGCAAACAGATTTTTGCAGCCGATACCGATTAACCAAGTTTTAAGAAGGCGCGTGGGCCAATACTGATCCAGTTTCCGATACCAGCCTGGCAGTGTGGAGAGCTGCCTCCAACAGGTAAGTCTGGTGTGGTGGAAGGAGAGGGGGAAGGGGGGGTATGCAGATCAAGGCCTCCACTGGGAAGGAGGCTGGGGGCTGAGGCAGGAGCTGTCCAGGTGGGGCGGGCGCAGGATGGAGTGGCGGCTCATCTGGGGTGCACAGAGATGGCAGTGGTGGGGTGGGAAATGGCTCCTGCTGCTGTATGCACTCCACCAGAAGCCGCTGGTCCAGTGCTCGCCTGCTTGTCTGGCAGCTCCTGCTGCTCATCTGAGAGGGGGTGGGGGGTGCGTGTGCCCCCAGATCTGTGTGGGCAGGCTGAGGCCGGGGCTGTACCAGGCTCTTCCCGGAGGGGTGGGGCTGTGCTGGGAGGGGGCTATGGTGAATTTGTGGCCGCAACCACCCCCCTCCCCTCCTGTAATCCCTTCCTAGTGCAGCGCTGCCTCACTGTGAAGAGCTTGGCACAGCCCCGACCCCAGCCCGTCCCATGCAGATCCAGGGGCACACACCCCACCCCATCGCTCTCCCAGACGAGCAGTGGGAGCTGCCAGATGAGGAGGCATGTGCTGGATGAGCCGCTGGACCAGCAGCTCCTGGCAGAGCAGCCCCCCTCACTCAGGCCCTGGCTGGGTATCCCAGCCCACGCCCCTTCCCTCCCCTTCCACCACACCAGACTTACCAGCTGGAGGCAGCTCTCCACACTGCCGGACTGTGCTCCTTGCCATCTGTGCTGCGCTGCGGCTGAGCGTGTGCACATGCCATTTATTGGCCAAATTATCGGCCTGCTATGGCTGTTTTCCAAGATATTACATTTTCTTTATAATGGTGCCGATCCAATATTGGACCAGTGTATCGGTGCACCTCTATTAATGTATTTTGAAGGGATTGGTAGGGGGCGTAACTCCAGAATTTTTGAAGGGTAGTATTTTCTGAACTTTTCAAGGGAGAATCTTTTTTGGTTGCCATTTTTAATATATCCTTTCGTGCTGGGAATTACTTGCCCAGCAGCATCCAGCAAGAGAGTGACAATGCTAAACTTAGAGCCCAGGTCTCCTGAGTCTCAGCTCGGTGTCCTTTCTACCTGATCACATTTTATTGTGGGATATTATGGAATACAGTGTGCCCTTGACTTGTCTTGAAGTGCACCTAGAGAGACTTGAGAGTTAAGAAATATGGAGTTAAAAATTAACCAGGCCTTTTCTATGCTTGTGCTTCCATCTCTACTGGTGGGAAATTATGAATTTTGGTAGTTATTGATAGACAAGACTCTTTTTTTTAAAGGCTGCATCAGGACTTGTAGAACACCGGCAAAGGCCTTATGCAGTGACAGATCTAGCAAGGACAACATCTATTGAGAGAAGTCCTTAGATCTTAGTTACAGCATGCAACTTATTAAACATAGAAGTACTAGTTAATGCATGTGGAATAGTAGGTTGATGCCTTTTGGCTCAAAGGATCTCCATTTTTTTTTTTAAATTTCTTCCCCGCCCCTTTCACATCTTGGGGGGGGGGGCCCACCCACAGACAACCCACCACCAGCCGTTTGTCTTTGGGTAGGAGAGTAAACACGATCAGACCTTGAAGTGAGAAGTTAGAGACCTGTTTCTATTTTGAGCTGCATTTAGTCATCCAAAGTTTAGACAAGGAGGTGGAGATGCCACCAGAGATTGGCAACCAAAGTGTGACAAAATTTAACAGTCCAGGAGAAGAGCGGAGTTTTTTATGAAGAGCAAAGATGCCAGTTGTATGAGATCATGCTGCAAGGGAGATATAGAAGGAAGTTGGAAGCATTTGTCTGCTAATGCACTATAAGCCTACTCCCAAACAAGACTGGGAACTGTAGTCCTAATTTTAAATTAGATTTTTGGATCAAATTAATTCCAATAGCCAAAAGCTGGAATAAGTTAAGATCCAGACCTGTTCTTTGCTAAAGAATGCATGTGCTTAAAGTATCTTGTAGATGATCCAAAACAGAACAAAGCCCTAAGCCCCTAAGGGCTTAATACATGTTTCTTGAAAAATAGACACTATGTTACATATTGGTGTATCTCACTAGGTAGTGGGGCTGTTTGGCACCAGTTCTGCCATAATATAAGGGTAGAGAGTGGAATAACCGACTTGGAGCGCTTCTGGTACGTTGTCAGGTAGGATATCCTAGATCTAAAGAGTTGGTCTT